TTTAAGTTTGCTATACTCCCAACATTGTCTCTCTTCCTTCTAAGGTCATTTGTATCTCTGTTTTGGTCTCTCTTTCATGAAGGAGACTTTCTTAGATTCCAAGTGATCCTTGGCTAAAACATAAAAATGTGACTGGAAACTCCAAGGATGAGGTCAGGGCTTGTCGTCTGATGAGTTTTAAAGTGAATGTGTAAGGGGTGTGAAGTGACATGTTGCAGAATTAATCTGGTTATTCTACTTATTGTTTGTTTGGGTTTGTTTTTTTTTAAGAGTTATTTTGTTTTGCTTTTGATCAGGCATGGCTGTTGAACCCCGCATTTAGTGTGTGCTTACTATGCGCAGGATATAGTCCTACGTGCTTTACATAAATTAGTTCAGTTAATCCTCAGAATAATTCTCTGGGATCTATTATTATTCCAGCTTGCAGATGTGAGAACTGAGGCACAAAGAGGCTAGGTAACTTGCCTAAGGTCACACAGCCAGGTAGAGCCAGGCATCAACCTCTCTGGCTCCACTGCAGTCTCCTGCCCCTGGGTGTTCTTACTGGACCTCATGATAAAGCAGAGCTTTCCCCATGATGTGCTGCTATATTGAACTATCAAGGAGCCTGGGCAGGGCCAGCGGGAGCGGCCACCCTGAGCAGCCTTGCTCAGTTGCTTTACTACTATACAAATACTATAACGTTCTAAGTATGCCCTGCTGTGGAAAGGGTTGCTATAAGATAACATTTGTTTTCCCCGCAAGATTTACTTTTCAGAAGAGAGGGAGACATCTTATACACAAGTCCTAACAAGATCTTTCATATCCTCAGAGTCTTCCTCAATTGACTTTATTTTGAACAGCCTGGTAAAGCACTTTGATCAATGTTGGTATTGCACACTTATAGAGGTCACTAGAAAGAGTCAATAAAAAAGGAGGCCAAGACATTTAATACTGATTTAGTAATTATTCCTGGGAAATGACCTCATAAGTGCAAGAATTGGGAGTTATAAATTTAAAAAGCAAGCCTTTGTTATAGAGATGTAAGGAAAAATGATTTCCTGAAACAAAAGTATATATGGATTAAAGTATCATATATAGACTGAAAAGTGCTCAGACAGAAGTGAAGATGGTAGCTCTGAAAAACTGTTAAATAACTCACAGTAGCTCCTGTGACAGCAGATATTAATGTCAAGTAGACATGGGAAGAAGTGGAATAAAA